CTAAATCATTATATAATCCATAAATATAGGTTTAGAGATTTGATTTAACTCTCCAAAATTTTAACTAAGGCAATGGGTTCAACCATTACCTAAGAAAATATGAAATCACGGCCCTACAATACCTTAATCCTTAGAAAATTCGAATATAGGGAGAAGGAAAGGTGTAAGGAGCTTACCAAAGCTAAATCTTACTCAAAATGCTTTCAAAGTAACCTTAAGGTCGAGCCCCAACACCCACCTATCGTCTCTCATTATCTCCTTGTGTTCTCTCCATCCCACTTTTCATTTTTTGTCTGATTTTACAAAATGATAAACGTAAAAATTTGCACATGTAGTGCATGGCACAGAGAGGTCCACACACTTTTGGAATCTCTCTCCGTACCATGGCTTACTTGAACTATAATCTAACCCTCTTCTAAGGCTGTTCAATGACCTAAATGCTATATTAGTCTCCTATAAACGTCATTAATCAAAAAATAATTTAATTTAACTAAAATACCCTTATAAACATTGGAAATTTCTAAAGTTGAAATCCATGATGTTACACTAGTTACTTCAAACATTTCAGAAGTTAAAGATTTACCCCTTATTACCACTTGCTTTCGAGCTAAACTCAAGCTCTTTGGTACTTCATGAGGTTAGTCTACAATTAATATTAACATACATCACTAATAATCATCAAAATCATTACTTCAACATCTAACTTCATACTTTAATAATTAAATTTCTTAACTACAAAATCAACCTTACATCCAATGTGTTGCTTAACTCTCATTAATTTCATTTAGCTATCAACAACTTAAATAATCACTAATATATCATCTAACAACCCAAAATCATCATTAATGTCATAAATTATTCACTTTCTACTCTCAAATTTAAACACTTTAATCACCCTAAACTTTCAACTCTTGAGTTTAATCACCATATTAGGTTTATTAACTCATATTAGCTCTGACTAACACCAACACAATCCTTAATCAACATCAATGGCAACCACCTGCTTCAAACACCACAATTTATGGCACTTTAAGGCATAATTCCATCCATACTAATGAGCCCAAGCTCAAAGATGCTCAAACTCATCAAAGCTAGGTTTAAACAACTCAAATAACTCTCATTAGTCCTATTTAGACTAATGGATTCAAACCTATAGCCCTAAGTTTAAAAATCATTATCTCACAACCTCAAATCTCACTTCCAATCACCTCTAAAATGCCCAAAAGTTGATACTCTAGCAAAGGAAACACTCTCTTTGTCACCCCCTCTTTGTTTTATGATGTTTTCCTTTATTTTTGAACTGTTTTTCATGTTTTTTTAAAAAATTAATTTTGAAAATTATGCTGCAATGTAAATTTTTATGTTGTAACATAATGTTTAGTGGGCCAAGATCTAATTTTTCTCTACAATTTGAGCTCAGTTATTCAATTTACTTTCGAACCCAATCTAAAGGCTAAAGTAAAACCCAATAGTTGTTTCTAACTATCCTCAAACCCATTTATATTTAAATTTACATATTTATCATTCATTAGCTTGATTAATTAAGGGGACACTTTTTGGGATGTTACACCATGCGATGAGGAGGTACAAGGAGGGAGGAACCTTAAAGAAAGTGTGGAGTGTGGATTGGTTGCAACCTTGACTGGATTTGAGAACATGAAAGAGTAGATGTTGAAAGTATATGAGGCACCACAACTCCACTAGATCCATATCATCCACCTATTGATTAACTAGCCACTCCATTTTGAACCTTGATTTCTTTGAAGGATTTTTGGAGATTTTGATGGTTGCTTTTGATAAGGGCAAATATGTCATTTCTTAAGGACTCGAAAATAATAATCATATTTTGCGGTACCTATTTATCATTTGCATATTTTAATAGTATTTTATTATCATTTTCTTTATGATTTGCAAAATTATCTGCCCTTTAAAAAACAAGTTCATTTTCACTAATAAGAATTAGGCATAGTAGAAAGTTAGTCCCTTACGTGAGGAATTCAAGTTTGAATTCATTTTAGGAGAAGGTCACATTGCTCAATGTACTGTATCTTAAACATGATCGTCGATCTCTAATAAAATGATACCCATATATAATAAAAAGAAAACAAGTTCTTTTTCAAGAATTTTCAAAAGATTTAGAAATTTGAGTTGGGAAAGACAACGTGCCGAGTTATCTTCCTAATGAATATTGTTCTCTAGGTCTCCAAAAACATGAGCAACGCCCGTTCTAGAAGGAATTGTACTCACCCTTCTTCAATCTATAATTACCATACCATCCACACTTAAATGCTTCCATCTATCCTATTTATATGACCCTACTTATTGGTCATTAATAAAATATTCACGATTCATTTTAAAAAATGCTCATATTTTTTTATCACTCATAAATACTTTTTTTATTAAAAGTAATAATATTTAAAACATGAATGGTACTAAATGTAATATTTTTAACTCTTGTGACTATAATTTGATAAATGTATTGTTGAGAAGTGTTTTTTTTTTTTTTTACATTTAACTAATTTTAACTGGATAGATTTATAATTTTATGAAAATAATTATTAAGCCCTTGCCGTTGTCTTGGAAACGTAAGTAGATACCTTCACATATTGCGTCTGACGATGGAATCATATCTTAATTAAGAATCTGTCTCTCTCTATCCATTTCTATCGTCATCGTTTTCTTTTTAAATTAATTTTATTTAAAATACAAGACATTTAGTAATTTTTGAAACTATTTTTTTAAATTTATCTCTATATTAATTAATATCTATATATTCTCTTTATTAAAAAAATAAGATGTTTTTTAAGAAATTGAATGTTAAAAAATATAAAATATTTTTAGTCTTTCGAGATGTTATCATTGTCTTTTTTAAAAAATGCTCTTATTGATGATGACTTTTTTTTCTTGTAGGATATTTAATAGGAATAAATATGAAAAGATAATGTTAGTTGAAAAATAAGTAACTAGTTTATTGTGGGTAATATTTGATTAAAAATGTCTTGCATTTTTAAACGGATGGAGTATATAAAAAATATAATCTAATTAAATATTTTTAATAATTCTATTTATAAATCACTTTTAATATATTTTATTATAATAAAAATTTTAAATCTCATTATTTTTTTAAAAAATTTAATAAGTTTCAAACTTTAACCCTATTAACTATATATATTTTAAAAATAAAATATTCAATTATTGAATAACCTCTCCAATTTTTAAAAGAAAAAATATATAAAATTAATATGATAATTATTAATGTATAATATAAATAGAATTAAAATAAACTTCCTCTTATTTACATGAGTGGGGCAGGGGATGCTCGTCATTCGTGACAATTAAAGGGTTAGGAAAAAAATTTAAATAACTAGTTTTTGTGCGTTAAGAAATGACTATTTTTATTGATATGTGAAATAGATTAATTAGACGTATCTAGTCAACGTGCGTCCAGTATGAAAAGGTTTTAAAAACAAAAAAACAAAACAAAACAAAACAAGCCTCTTTCATCCGTGACCAACACGTCACTGCTATATTATTTAGAGAATAAAAAAAAATATGAGATGATCCAACACGCCACTGCCACTGTTACAATTAAAGTCACAAATTTGGAATCATTATTAATCATGGTGTAATTAATTATTGAAGTTAAAACTAATAATACATCTAAAATAATAAGTTATAACTCATTATAGTTTGCAAATTAAAATTTCTCGAACCTGTGCATACATATTGTTTCAAGCTATTTAAAATAATAATAAGTTACGGTAATGGTTTAACTAACACAATTGAATTGAGGTCAAACTAAAGCCAGTAACTTGGACAACCTAAGTTTAATTTAAGTTTGATTTATTCAAATTAAATTTAAAATATTTTATTATCTTAAAAAATTCATGTATCCAAGTCCAATTTAACATTTTTTGGTCAAGTTTAAGTTTGGTCAAAATTACTAACTTTATATATATAAAGAGTTAGAAATTTCAGTAGTTAGACTCAATTCAGGTCGGGCTTATTTAAATTTAAAGTATCCTAGCCTAATAAAAAAATTTCATATAGCTAATCTTGACCCTAACTTTATTTGAGCAGGTTTGAACTGTCCCATATAACTTGGCCTGAATTACCGGCTCTAGATCAAACTACCTATGATTAAAATAATATAACATAATTAAAAATTAAAATATATGAAAATATTCATATATAACCATAAAAATAGTAATATTTAAATAAAAAATATTAACTGATGAATAAATGAAAAATTCACATATAAATCACACATAATTTAATAAAACAAAGTTGTTTTAGCACAAATCTAAAAACACTATAATTTTTTTCTTTTTTTAACTCACAACTATGTCATTTCAAAATTAGCAAGAGGAAAAAAATATAAAATGAATAAATGAGTAAATTAGTTTTTAAATTATAAATAAAATACTATTGGAGAGACTAAAATTATAGTTCTTTTTAAACTTTTAAAAATTATACAATTTAACTCTAGTTATTAATAAAAATCAATTTTAATGGTTAGTTAAACAAAAAATGGTAAACAAAAATCAAAACTACAAAAAAAATCAAATTTTTTTTATCATTTTCTATAATTTTTGAGGTCTTTTTTTATATTTTTAATTATTTATTATAATTTTAATTTTTTTTATTTTTTTTTTGTCTTTTGCTGGCTAAGGTAAAAATTGACCTTCATTAATAATAGTAGTCATATTATATTATTTTTAAAAATTAAAAGAAAAAATTACATGAAAGAAGAATTTAGAATCCTAATCGTTTATAAATCTGTTAGTATGAATTTGCTTATTCATCCTGGTAAAATCTAACCTCTCCAGCCGCCCAAAACTTTTACGAGGCTTGGATTGGTTTAACCAATTAACTCAAATTAGGATTGAATACCATGATATATGATATGTTTTTAAAATTATTTTCTCTTGCCCACCTGATAAATTCATTGAATCCGGATGTTCTGTTTCCCAATGCCCTCCTACCTATATAAAAGCCAGAACAGAGCATAGCATCTGTCATCGCAGAGCTAATGCCATCAGCATCACCGATTCACCGAGAATCATGAGCAGCCAGCGCGTTCTAGTTTTGCCATTTCCTGCTCAAAGTCATGTCAATTGTCTGATGATCCTCTCTCAAAAACTAGCCCAAAATGGCCTCAAAATCACCTTCGTGAACTCAGATTTCAACCACAGACGTGTGGTGAACGCAATGAAAACAGAGGAGGAAAGAGAGACGAAGTTGCCTTTGGAATTAGTGTCAATCCCAGATGGTATGGGCCCTGAAGATGACAGAAACGACATGGCTAAACTAAGTTTGGCAATCTTGAGCACCATGTCCTCAGAGTTTGAGAAGCTGCTTGAAGACATTCATGGCAGAGATGGAAGAAGAATCAGCTGTATAGTCGCTGATGTGAATATGGCGTGGGCCTTGGAAATTGCACATAAGCTGGGTATTAAAGCTGCTGTCATCTGCCCTACATCTGCAGCTCTTTTTGCTTTTGAACTTCACATGCCTAAGCTAATTCAGGATGGCTTGATGGATTCTGATGGTAAAATGACTTTTCCTTTCAGCTGTATTTTATTTTATTTTATTTTATTTTAAAAATTTGGGTTCAAATCAATCATAAATATGGAATCATGCACATTTAAAAATTATTCCCATACAATTGTTTTAAAAAATTTAAAATAATTTTTATAATTAAAACACTTCCCATTATTCTCTTCAAAAATTTAAAATTTGACGTTTCTTAAAACAATATATGGTAAAATTTTTGACACTGGGTCAACTAAATTAAATGTTTATTATTATATCACAGAAACACTTGTGGAATGAGTGGACCTAAAACATTTATCAAATCCAAATCTTCTTTCCCCCCCCCCCAAACCAAAACCCCCCGATTAGCCACCCCCAGTCATTGACACGCATATCTTTTGTTGTGATTCATCAGAATTACACTCTAATTTGAGTATATTGTTGATTTGTTTCTACAAAGAAAAAGCAGAAATTTAAGTTAGTTTCCATATCAATCATTCAATGGAAACTAAGAACTGTGGAATAACAGTACATATAGTCATAGGCCGAGGCGATAGGAAAAAAAAAAGAAAGAAAAAAGATTATTTACAAAGTTGAAATTTAAATAAATAGCTTCTGAACTCGATCTTGTGTCAAGGGTATCAGTCCAATACTTGTATCCTATCTTTTTATGTTATCCATTACTAAATATTTATTTTAAAAGGAGAAATATATATATAATTAAATACTTAAACATTTAATTAAATATGGTTAAAATTTCTTACCAGCTAAACTAGCTATTCAATTTTTTTATATGTGTATATTTTTAAATAACAATTATTTCAAAACATATAAAATTTAATTTACGAAAATTAATTTTAACATATCGTATTTATTTTACATTATATATAATAATTATGTCTCTTGCATTGCAGGAATGCCAATAGTAAAAGGGGAATTTGAGATATCACCAGAGATTCCTAAGATGAACACAGCTGACATTGCATGGTGCTGCATGGGAGACTCAACATCCCAAAAGCTTGTATATGATTACATTGCAAGGATGATAAGAACTTCACACTTAACTGATTGGTGGCTTTGCAATACCGTCTCTGAACTTGAACGTGGAGCCCTGTCGTTATACCCCAAGATCCTACCTATTGGTCCATTAATGAAGACCCATGAGATCCAAACAAGTTCTTGGTCATCACTTGGGCAGTTTTGGGAAGAAGACCTCTCTTGCTTGAGTTGGCTAAACCAGCAACCACCATGTTCTGTCATATACATTGCTTTTGGTAGCTTCACTATGTTTGATCAAACACAATTCAAAGAGCTAGCTCTAGGACTTGAACTTACCCAAAAGCCTTTTCTTTGGGTTGTTAGGGAAGATGCATATGGTAGAGACACAAAAGTGACATACCCAGATGAGTTTGAAGGCAAAAAAGGAAAAATTGTTAGATGGGTACCTCAACAGAAGGTGTTGAGCCATCCTGCCATAGCATGCTTCGTTAGCCATTGTGGTTGGAACTCAACTATGGAAGGTTTGAGCAATGGAGTGCCTTTCTTGTGTTGGCCATATTTTGCAGACCAATTTTTTGACAAGACTTGTATTTGTGATTATTGGAAGGTGGGACTGGGATTTGATTTAGATGATGACAAAGGACTAATCTCACGCCAAGAAATCAAGAAAAAGTTGACATGCTGCTTCAAGATGAGAGCATCAGGGCAAGGTCTATGAATCTGAAAAAGATTATCATGAATAATATAATAGAAGGGGGTACGTCAATGAAGAACTTCAAGAAGTTCGTGAAATGGGCTAAACAATAAGATGTTCTATGTTGGAAAATTTTGTAATTTATTTAAGGAATCAATTTTGTTTTGAATATTAAACCTATGTCAGATTAGGCCCTGGTTAAGACTTGATTTTATATAATTTTATGATAGATTAAAATTAATGCATATATACTCATTAATTAAGGTGCCAACCTTCAATCTTTTAATGGTCATTGGGTTTCTTATGATAGCTTGAACTTAAAATGAAGGATAATTTATTCTTGGATTAATGTACAATTTGAATCCTGAATTATAGGCTCAGGGCCGATTTGAATTTTGAACTTATATTTAATACATTTTGGATCCTGAACAATTAGACTTGAGGCAAACTCACCCTCCCATTAATTTATAATTAACTTCCATTTCTTTATACATAGTGGGCCATCATTTATTGCTTTTTTTTTTTTTTTGAATAAGTGCAGGAATTCTCATTCACAAGGTAAGAAAAACAAGGACAAACAACCTAAAGAAAAGGTAAAAAAAAACAAACTAAACCCATAGAACACCTAATAGACTATTTATTTGGTGGCAAATCAAAACAAGTTAAAGCATTAGACATGTTATGGCTGACTTAGCAAGAAAGTTTGCCATTCTGTTGTCCTCCCTATTCAAAAAAATTAAAGTTTACAGACTAATCTCTACATAAAAGTCTTCTAGTAGAACTAATGATATCTTGAAAAGGATGGAAATTATGGTTGTTCCTTGTGACCATAAATATTGCATTCATATAGTCACAAAAGACTTCCATAGTTCTGAAACCTTTTTGCCAGCATAGCTCCAAGCCTTTATAAATACCAAAGGTTTTAGAAATGGAAACTGGAACATGCTCAAGTCTTTGATTAAAGCCCAATATCCAAGAACTATTGGTATCTTTAATAACACCATCACATGCAGTATGCCCATCTGTAAGTACAGACCCATCCACTTCCAAGTTGACTGCATCCTGAGGCCTTTCTTGGATAGAAAATGGCACTGACTTGATACTATAAGCCTATAATTTGCCTATTAGCTTGTAATCTGTTGCCACCTTATAGGTGAAATCATAAGGCTCCTCAAGGATTTCCTTCTCACAGTCATTAAAGAGAACATAACAGCTACTTCTCCATATATTCTAGCAACTATAGGAAAATAGTACATCCCATGGAACAATCTTTGTTGCAGAGTTTTGTAATACTTGCAAAAATCATACAATTCAAATAAACTAAGTGTGGTTGAGGAGTTGATTTTAAAACCAACTTAGAAAATAAATCATTTAAATCACTAAATAAATACACAATCATAAAATAAACATTTAAAACATTTAGAAAAAAATTATAAGTTCTACGTATAGCACACAGAAGCAAGTTAGGAGAAAGCGGGATAAAAAGATGCTGTCTTGATAGCATTAAATTACTGCCATGACAGCCCTCCTGGGTCAATTTTCAGGAGGTGCCGTTCTATCATTCGACCTCTTATTGAAGTGATTTTAAATGTTATATGTAATTTTTAATGATTACTAGAACTATACCAAATTTCAAAAAGATTTAATGGTTGAATTAGAATTTAGACATTATACCAAATTTCAAAAAGATTTAATGGTCGGATTAGAATTTAGACACTCTAAAATATTGGACAAAGTTGTTGTCATAACAGCACTTCTAGACCAACTTTTGGAGCGCACAATTTCATCATCTAACCTCCGATCGGAGCGATTTTAGATCCACACGTCACATTCAAAGAGTACTACAAGTGTACTAAATTTTAAAAAGATTTAATGGTCAGATCAAAATTTGTGTGCATCCTAACCTCAGCAAGGGTTGCTATCATGATAGCATCTTTGAACTAACTTCTAGAGCACATCGTTTCTCCGTTTGACGTCCAATCGAGGTGATTCCAAAGCCCACACAAAGATTATAAAATTTTTATTTGTGACCCAAATTTTAAGAAAATTGAATGGTCGGATTGAAATTTGAACATTTGGATGCAAAAGTGCAACTTTTTGGTAAAAAATCATTTTCAAAATTGTTCAAATCTCATCCTAATGGTTACAAAACATGTGGAAACACTTCGAACATGTTGAATAGGACTAGAAGTACCTGATAGAATATTTAAATGATGAAAACCCCTTATATCAAAATTTGACTGCCTGGGTGCCATTTTCCAAAATGGACCCTAAGCTCCTAAAATTTACAAATCACATAAGAGTGGCCAAAAACTATTCCAAATACTATATACACATATGAGTACACATGCTAAATATTTTTACTTAGCTCAGAGATCCCCGTGGGGCCCCTACACCCACTCTTTCTATCCAAGGTGTATATTTGACAATAGTCCACTATTTGCAATGCAACCACTTTGCATTTACTTGTAGTGAAAACTTGATCTACCAAATAAATTTATTGAAACCACTTACCATAACCAAGTTTCCTAGTCATAAGTCTGCAAGTAGACAAAAACTCATACAAAGCCATACAATCCACACATATTCACACACATATATACAATTACATTCTACTAACCCCCTAATTCTAAATACATTACAATAGATTTGCTCAAAAGAAAGGGGTTGTAGTTCTTTGCAATCCATAAAAAACCCCTAGTTTTCTCCTTTCCCCATCTACCACTGGATCCTTTGCCTGGACCTAGAAATATTAAAAAAAAGGAATGAGACAACCACAATCTCAGTAACGGAGAAATCTATATTTATTATTACAAAGTAAGCCATAATTAAATAAATGAATAATAGATTAAACATAACATATAATTTAATCATTTAAAATGCATGAATGCATGACATAGGCTGGTATGACCTTTCCTGACTGACAGAATGCCTCACGGTACTCTTTAGCTTGTATGTAAACCTTATACCCACTTGTACCTTCATAGGTACAAAATATAATCTAAGGCATGATCGAATCCACCTAATCACCTGTGCTCCTTTGACGTGAATCTTGAGCAGTTGAAGCTAACTTCTTCCTAGAGCCAACCCAACTTACTCTCTATGTGAGGACTACTTTGGCTTAGGCACTCAACCTCACACTTCATCTGTCAGATTCTCTCTCCCATTTAGAGGTGTTGAACACTCAATCTACTAATCACTTTAGTGCACTGAGCCCATAATACGAAAGGCAGCACTGAGTATTGGTAGTGTGCCATAGAATATCACAAGTTCACATCTCCCCATTGGTGAACTTCCACTGAGATCACGCCTTTCACTCTTGTCTACTTTTTTTGAGTATTGACCACTTCAACACTTTAAGGTAGTATAACAAATATCAGTTGTCCCTTAAGCGGTTTCTTAACCTCTTGAAGGTATCTAACCCAATACATTTCCTTAAGTGTAACTTTTATTCTCTATAATTACAATACATGCAAACAACCTCATTTCTATAAAAATATTATTGTTAAACGAATAGAAAACATATATGCACTATTATCCAAGTAATACCCCATAAGTCTTTATAAAACACAATTAATTACATTTAATCATTTAAAACATATAATGCATGATAGTTAGTAATATTTATTCAAAAATAGCTAAACAAAGAAATAAGAAATAAATTTCCCTGTTACCTCAACCCTTTTATACCAAAAGGATTTCTCCTTATACAAAATGAAACTTGGCTTGTTCTTTATCCTCTAATTAAGTTCCACCAATAATTTCCCACAACATAAAAGTGATCCATGTCACTTTTCATGGCAAATAGCATTAATGAAGACTATAACTCATACCACACAAGTTGGGTTAATGAGCCATAATCCATCCTAATGGTTCATATATTAAACCAACCATTCATATAATACTACTTAATCACCAAAACCATTTATTAGCCACCATTAGGCCAATTTCTAATTCATATAATTTTTAATCAATTAAAAACTTTCACTTAGTGTCAACAACTTTCACCATTAACCCTTATAATGAATATCAAAGCTTAATTTAAATCTTATTGGAATCAAATAGCATAATTATAACTAAATCAATAGGCTTAAACTATTGAGGAGTGAAATCCAATCTCTTAGGATTTGAATTTGTGCCCAAAACACCTCTTTTCATCTAATTACCTACTCAAAATATTAAAGCACCATATAGAAACTCAAAAACAACCCCCATAAAATTAAGGAAATCAAAGCTTACAAGAACAAAACCTTTGGGATCAAAATCAAAAATTTTCCTCTTCCAAAAACTCAAGAAAACTAAGAGGAAAGGAAGGGGATTAAAGTAGAGAGTTTATCTATTGTGTAACCGAGCTCACAACAATCGTTAAGCCTAACTCCCTCTCTTCCTCCTCTCTTCTTCCTCTCACTCTCTCATTTCTTGCTCTTTGTTTTTTTTGCTTTCTTTGTTTCATTTCTGCGTGAAATTAGTTTTAAAAAACTGACCCAAACACTCTGGGAAAAATTACAAGGAAGGGCCCATTATTTTTTTTTATTATAGCATAAAAGCTTGGGTCAACTTTGGTATTTTTTTCCATAGTTAAAAATAAAATAAAACCAAAACTTTTACTTAGTAAAATTTGAACTCTAGACCTCTATCAAATTATTTTAATTTTAATTTAATTATAGATATTTTATTTTTTTAAAATAATTTGAGTTTTAAGATTTTCAAGATGTTACAGTTTCCTACCTGCACTGACATATCCAACTTATCTACTCCTAGCATGTCAAATTGAAAAACTTTTCCTCCCGGTCTGTGAGAACACATTTTCTCCACTATCGCTTAGCATGCCAGCAATCACGAAATAGCTGCATTGTATTCTCCCCATCATCACATCCAAATAGACACAATTTATTGACATGTAATCCTCTTCTCATTTGAAGATCTGCTGAGTGGACTTTATCATGTGCCATTTGCCAAAAGAGTGTTTTAATCTTCTTCGGTATCCTCCATTACCAAATATTCTGCCACAAAGACTCTTTAGTTCCCCCTTCACCTGCAATAAGAGAAAGATAACTAGATTTTACAAAAAATTTTCCATTAGTAGAATACAACCAAATGTGTTTATCCTCTTCTCTCTCTTCTCTTGGGGCTCTAATGCTGGCAATGAGATCTACCACATCTCTCAATAGCCATG